TAAGTGGGGGGGGGGGCTAGCTAGGCAGACGTAACTAAAGGAGTTCATCCAAGAGGAAATTGAAAGAATTTCCTCTGAAATGCTAGCGAGAGTGATGGAAAAACTTTGAAAAACGACTCCAAATGTGTATAGCCCGTAAAAGCCACCATTTGGACGACATAATTTTTAAAACATAAAGTAAAAAAAACTTTTTATATCTAGATTTAAGAAATAGAAATATCTGGTGTTATCTCGTACCACTTTTTTTCAATCGTTTTTTAAAATGTGGGAGTTATTTCTGCCGCATCCTGTACTATACTAGACGTACGTTGCGATAGTAGCTACATAAGTTTGATTTTCTTTTTAGAATGTAACGCTCGATAACGTAACGATGATCTGTTATATGTTTCAGGTTGCCCACTACGGTGAAAAGGTTTACAAGTGTACGCTTTGTCACGAAACTTTTGGTTCGAAGAAGACGATGGAGTTGCACATCAAAACCCATTCGGACTCCTCTGTCAGTGGTTCTCCTAGAGACTCGCCGATCGAACCAGAGATTAAGATCTCGCAAGCAAACGGTGTAAGCACTGCCAATGATAAGGAGAATCAAAAGACTGAAGAACCAAGCGACGACACTGCTACTTACAACGCTCCACGGGAGTTTCCATATTATGTGTATTCTAGAGAGCAGTATTCGCAACCACTGGTGGTATCTAGCGAAGGAAGAGCCTTCCAAACGATGCCAACTGTCCCCGTCGAACAGTCCCACACGTTTCTCTATCCTGAAGTTTCGCCAATGTACACTAGTTTTGGAATTCAGAGTAACAATTTTGTGGGCAACTGTTCTTCGCTTCTGAATTTGCCAGGAAACGACGCGCGCAGGCGAGTCGAGGCTGCGCTCGAAGCAGTCGAAGAAGAAAGGCAGAGGGAATATGGAATCATCCATATCGACGTTGACAGGGAACCAATTCTAACTCCGCCAAGCAGCAATCCCGTGAGTCCTGTACCTTCGCCGGATCCTCTCGATTTGGCAATTCCTGTACGAGAGACGTTAATTCTCCCGCCAAGAAAGCGGTGCAAGATGATCTTAGAATCAATGGAGAGCGAGAGAAGTGGTCTTATCGCTTCGCAGAGACAGAACTCTGTTATTCAGTTTGCTAAGGCATCGTAGTGGAAGATTTCGAAGAGATCAGTGGTGTACCGATGATACTTTTACTTTTTACGTATGGTGAAACGTAATCCGGGTCTAATGAAAAATTACGTAGAGCATCGATTCAAATTGAATACGTACCGATGATATCGATGGGCTACAATGATTAAATCGTTATATTGAAAGTTATTCAAAATTGAAACGTTTAAAAGCAACTTGTCGCGTGGAAAATAATTTCAATGCAGATTCGGCATTTCAATGCTAAATTGAATTGAAAAATTCAAACTCATATTATATTCGAATAGTGTACAGTACCTACATACAACTCGTAGAAAAGAAAATGGAATGCCCATCGCTAACCAACGATAAATTCAGAAACCAGAACTTCGTGGCGTAGAAATAAAACACGACCGGGTCACCGGAAAATTTCACTGCACAGTTTGACAATCGGAGACGGTTTCGGTTTCGATCTCGCATCGAATATTTTATGCCACCCTCAGATTTCAAAATTTGTTCAAACGAGACATTTTGGAAATGGACTACGCAAAATAGGAATATTTATTATGATTTTAATATAGTATAATCGAAGTAGCTTTCCTTTCTCCCTTACTAGAGCGTTTAACGATAGATAAGAAGCAATCGATTCGACAGGTTTTTATAATTGTATTAGGTTGTCCAGAAAGTTCGTGCCAATTTCTAAGAAAAATTCACAAACACGCTTGAATTTTAATATATATTTATTGAATTACGTAGGTGCCATTTTGTTCCACAACCTTTTCACTTATTAAGGGATGTATACATATTATTTGTTTTCAACCACTTCGATATATTCAGACCTGTACCACCTATCAAAAATCGACATGGACTTTCCGGACATTCCAATACATGGTGAAAGTTTGAAGAATGTTGGAAATCATGGTGCAACATTTCCCTCGCAAACCTTAAACTAATACAGGAACGTTCGATAATTTTACTATCTTAAAGGATAATCGCGAACATTTCACTGTTGGCCAAATATTTATTTATGACAGAGTTATCTCGTAATCGCGAATTCGACTGGTTTCGAGAACTGCTTAGACGCGTCTCGTGCAAGGTTGGTCAAATTCTCTTCCAAATAAGATATAAAAAATGCCCGATTTATTCGCATTACAATAATGCTAAACGAATTCTTCACTCGCTGTCCTCCTGCGCGGAGAAAGGACTTGTTATATTTGTTTTAATTCTTGCGAATAAATCGCCAAGTTTTATTCTTTATTCGAAATAGAATTTATCCAACTTTGATCTCGGAATAAACGTCTCGATATAATTTCGCCACGTCCTTGCGTATTTTTCAACATTTCTAAACAAACAATAATTGTAAAAAATTGTTGCTCGAAAATGGCGCAAAATGGTAATTCTGTCGCTTAGAATTAATTGAAAAATACTTGAGAAATAGGCTTTAATGGTCTTGGAACGAAGCTGTAATTTTTGGCTTTGCGGAAATTGCAATTAACAAATCCAAGGATGGTGTAGTTTTTTTTTTAAAAATAAATAAATAAATAAATTCGATTTATCTATCAAACGTCGTCCTTGGGCTTGTATTTTAAGAAAGACATCGTTTGCTTTGCTTTCTCCGATCTTTAGCTGCGCGTGTTCGCGTCATTTTTTCATGTTTCGCGTTACGTGTACTACGTGTACGTCAAATATTTGTGTGTATGTGTGCATGCGTGTATATATGTTTAACTGCAACGGATTAGCGTAGAAAGATCACATAAAAGATCGGAAAGTCTTGAAATGAACATGATCGAGACCATTCTTTAAATGTCCGCTGAGGAAATAAAATTTCTTTCATCCGTGGCGTGCTCGTATCTTAATCGAGACGGCCATGTCAGCTGTAAACGTTAAACACTTTTCACAGAATATCCGACGAAAGAAAAGCTAGCAATTTCGAACAAATCGTCTCGTGTTAAATAGTGGATTTTTTTTATCGTTTCGTACGAGAGGAAGCCTAACGAAAGATAAGAGTTTTTTGAAATCTGTTCGGAAATCTCAGTAAAGAAATTTCAAACAAACGATCGATCGTGTCGACTTGTCTAGTGTCTCGTGTTTCGTGTTTCGTATTTCGTATTTCGTATTACGTGTTTCGTGTTTCGTATATCGTAGCAATTTCTAATTGTATCCAATATTTATATATGATCGATAATCCCAATTTCTTGCCAAAAATTAACAAGACTGACACAACAGTCTGGAAACAATTTTTGTTACCGAGCAACAAATTTTTAATAACGTATTACCATGATATGATGAAAGTGATATTAAAATATCTAATTGCTCAATTTCGTCGTCGTTAGAATGATATTGATCGTTAAAATGAAACATTCGATAGATTTTGTTTTCAACCAAATCCTAAACTTATTCGATTCTTTTCCGTAAATAGTTCTTTCAACCTTCGCATTAAAATTGACTCGATACGTTGCTTTTCCCTATAACTTGGTTAAAATATTCGATCTTGTAATAATTCATCTTTCGATTTTAAAAAATCTAACGTGACGGAACTTGCATTTATTTACGTTATTTACGAATCGTTCAATGATTATTAATTTGTTACTTACTGTTATACTTTTGTAAAATTTGGCTAGTTTCAAAATGAGAATCTTACATTAGAAGAGCCTTTAAAGTTCACCGTAAAAAAAATCGATGGTTAAACTCTGTCCGTTTTACTAAATTTTCGAGATCGAATAAAAAGACTAGCTTCGAGTACAAAAGCATCGAGTCGGGTTTACGACTCGTCAATTTTCGAAGAGCGTCAAAAATAATATTACGTACATTTAATTGCCGATAAATAATATCTGCTACTTTAAGGGGCTCAGTTTCAATAATACGGATCTTACTGGAATATACAACTGCAGTTTCCATTATAAAAATGAAATCGATGGGAAAAAAGTACCAAACAATTAATATCTCTGTGATAAGAACTACATAATGCCAGAGTATTGAGGGTAGCTATGCCCACTGCCAGTACAAGAGAGAAAGAAAAAGAGGAAGTGCGTGCGTGCGTGTATATAAGTATGTGTGCATATGTTAAATCGTACTGTCACGATTAATCATTTGTAGCCATCTGTATTTACACTTGGCTTCGCTCCAGTACGACGCGAAGAAATTTTTCCTATGTTGAAAACTAATTTAACCGTTTCGCTACGGTGCGCGATGGTCTAGTTCAGTTGATAGTTCAGTTCCCAATGAACGAAACGTCGCGTCGCGTCGCGCAAAAGTCTAAATGTTGCGCAAAGACAATATAGAGACAAACTGAAATAAAGTTGTACTAAACGACATTGTAGGTGTAAATGTAGTCACAAAACGTAAACAAAGTTGGACAGAGCAATATTTTCCAAATGAAAAAATCGAAACTGCCGATCCGGAGTAAGTGTACAGTGTTTTGTGGCAAACGACTATAGTCACCCATCGTAGCGAAAGGGCTAATCGATGATTCGGTAAAGTGCATCCATTACAAAACAACCGTTAATAATATATAAATAATATTGATCAGATGTATTCCTTGTACATCGAAGATAAAAATATACGATGCTGTTTAGACTTATCGGAAAAATAAAATTAATTATAATATAAAGCATTTTTAATTAGTCAAACATTTTTTATTTAAAAAAAATATCGATATACACGATATGTTACGATACGATGAATTCGTTAGTTAAATCGTAAAGTACTAGATGCACTTCGTAATCGAATCTACTATTAACTTTTGATCTGCGATTTATAGAATAGCTTGCATATACAATACAATGAGCCATGTTCATATTTTAATAAGTAACGTAATATTTATATAGGAATGTGCGTGTGTGTATGTATATATGTATGTATGTATATTGTTTTTTTTTTCTTTTTCACACATCCAAATTCGACACGTGGCCTATTTCTATTTGTCGGACGTTTGAAAAGTTCGAGAAGAGATTTCTCGTTCATTGTATGGATTTGTGCGATATAAAATTGATGTGCAATCATAACTTAAGTTCTCAGGACGCTTAATTTTCTCTCTACAGGAAAAATTGCTTTTAATTAATGGAATATCCAGGTATTTATTGTAAATTTACGCAATCGTTGATCGTGAAAATCGAAGCGCCTAATGCTAGTTTAGAGTTTAAAAGTTTTATTTAAACTATTCAATCGAGAATTGGCCACGTGGGTACTATGTCGAAAATAAAAACGCGAATTGTTAAGTATTACGATAACGACGAGAAAAAGATTGAAATATGCGAAGAGGAGTCTAGCGTAATATTGTAATTATCTGTTATTACTTATTATTTTTAAGATACACAAATGCATGCCGAGTGGGACGTGTTTTGTCCCATCGTTGCGAGCGTGTGGAACTGATTACCTATGAAAAAGAAACGTTTTTCTAGAGACTCGTTGTATACAAGATGATTTCAACGGAAAAAAGATGATACAATCTTCAAAGAGTGCAACAGGGACGATAAAGATGTTTTGTAAGCGTTATGCATCGCATTCGCGACTATCAGTCGGTTAACTTTAACAAACTAGAAAAATTCAAATAGCAAAACGACAACGTACGATGCGAAGCAAACAGACTTTTTCGTCCTCGAAAGTGACTCGCCTGCGATAAACTTGATTCCAATGGATTTTGTCCGGAAACATCAAAAGTTACGAGTTACTTCTATTGTTTTTCGCATCGACTGCAATTTCACCAAACTCGGAATCATCTTGATCATCGACAGGCACTAACGATTGTATTTCCTTGTTTTATTCCGCCAAAGTGCGTACGAATAACTTTGATAGTCAACTTCCGACAGGAAATATATTTATTTATTTAATATATACCTATATATTATACACAGATGTATTTTTCACCGAATTTCGGAACAAATTCTCGTGTATTCGCTACATTAAAATATATTCTATCGTAAATACTGTTTTCGAATATTGCGTTTAATTTCAACTAGTACGTATAATAAAAAAAAATCCACTGCACTTTCTACATGCATATGTACCTAGCATCTTACAAATTCGCTTTCAAATTCATTTTCATTTGTCATTGTCATTCGTTACAGAGACCGGTGTATCGCATACGTACAATTGCATTACATTTTGCAATCTCCTTTCTTTAAATTTTACTCTTTATTCGCTCCAAATGCTGCGATAGATATTCGATTCAGAGAATACATTTTTTCAGTTTACATCGTCTACTGGATTATAACAAAAACCGCCATTGTTATCGATGATATATATATCTCCGGGATTTATTCGATTCGTATAGTAAATAATTCTTTGCATTCTTCAACTGCTTTTTTTAATATACGCTTCTACCATCTAAGGAAATCGTATACATTCATCGAAAATAACATACTTATTATTAGCTATACGTTCGAAAATATCCAAGATTGGAAATAAACGCCAATGTGGTACCAATTGCCTGCCATGCATAAATATATAAATAAAAAACGTATGTCTACACATACAAACGTGCAGCATACAGCACATATATATGTATAGGGTGTTCCGTAAAATGTATTTTATATACGATAACAAGCGTGGTAATCGACAAAAATGATAGAAATAGTTGGGATGTTTTACAATTTCTTTTGTTCACATTCGTTCGAGAATCGTTGTAAATTTCATACAATATTCAAAATTCCAAAACATTTGAATAAAGTCCGTATAATCAGCTTTCACTTTTTCAAAAGGTAGAACTGATGCAATCGACATGTAAATTGTTTTTACATATTTCTATTATTTCCTTCTGTTTATAACCAAAGAAGAAATATGAAATGTACAAGTTACGTGATTTACCCTGTATATACGTATACATACATATGCTATATGTACATATACATATACATATATAATCTGTGTAATAATTAAACATTATACAATGTATCGCAAAGACTATGTGACGAAAATAAGATTCGAGGAAAGTTAAACAAATATTGATTACCATTTAATCAAACCGATTATAAATCGTTACCCTACTTTTTCATACAAATAGCTCGAGCCAGTTTGTGCTCAGTTAGTGTCTGAATGCTTGCAGATGTAATCTCTATCTTCTGAACACATTATAACTTCTGCTTTCATTTTTTTCTTTAATTTTGAAAATTGTCAGCTTTATAACTGTTTAAAGTTTTCTGCTACCTTTTTGTTTTAAGAAGTTATAATTATTAAACTAGCCAACAGATGAAAATAAGTTTTTGCAGGCTTACAGTGAGAACATGAAAATGAAAATAATCTCAGTTTAAACAAAAATTACGTTAACCATTTTTTATTTAAATGATTTTAAATAAACGTCTAGTTTTTATAATACCACTCAACAATACTAATCCAACACCAATTTTGGTACCAGTGGCGCCATCGATGGGAAGGCGCCTAAGTTTGTAGTGAAAATAGTTCCCACTATTACTACAAGGTGGTGCTACCGACACCTTTTAATAAATCAACGTAACATAAACTAATCTTTTCTAAAAGTAACTTCAATAATAACTTGAATAAAACAATAAAATGATTAAAGCATGTGTTAATATCTCAAATTTATCATTTTTATGAATAGTTATTTAGTGCAATAAAGTTTAAATTAAAGTTTAATACATTAAAAATGTAATGCAATTAAAGTTTCAATCATAAATACTTCAAATAATATAGAGTGTCCAGGTCTCACTACGTGGAGGTTACTGCATATGGAGACCCAAAAATAATTGGGTGACTAAGACAAAAACCACATCCTAGCCACCTTTATCCTTAATCTAAATGTTGTGCCCCCCCCCCCCCCCTCCCGGCCGGGGATGTGTTTTTCTGGACCCCCAGGGGGGAAAGGTATTCCTAAACCATACAATATGTACTTCATAGCAGTGTTTTTATTATCAAATAGTCCATTGACAAT